CAGAGGATCCCCAAATGCAGGTGTGAAAAACTTGTTGCATCATTCCCAAAAAGACTCATGGCTGTATTAGCTCAAAAGGGTGCTTCTACTAAATACTGAGCAAAGGGTCTGAATACTTATGACCATGTGATATTTCAGTTTTTCTTTTTTAATAAATCTGCAAAAATGTCAAACATTTTATGTTTTTCTGTCAATATGGGGTGCTGTGTGTACATTAATGAGGAAAAAAATGAACTTAAATGATTTTAGCATATGGCTGCAATATAACAAAGAGTGAAAAATTTAAGGGGGTCTGAATACTTTCCGTACCCACTGTATATTGGAAAATCAGATGATCCCCTTCCCTCACAGTGCTGCTCTGCATTGCTGAGGGGGTCTGATGTGTCTTCTTTAGAGTGAATAGATGGTGGAAAACAGCTCAACTAACACACCCATTATAACTACAGCCTTTAACCTTTTTGATACTGAACACTGGCATGTTTTAAATTACTAGGATATTCTTTTGGGAGGTGAAGTGATTTTTTTGATGGTAAGAACATTTCTCTAAAATCATGACATTTCTAGGACATTTGTGCAAAGAAGGGACCAATTTTTAAATGGTCATTTTTAGAAACAAGTCATTTTTGGAAAATGAGGACATTTTTTGTAACATTTGAGAGAAGAGGGGACAGCCTTTGTCATCTGTTCATGCAATTTCAGAGCACTTTAAACATTTTTAAAGTTTTAAAAACTCATATTTTTTTAAACAGAACTATGGAGAAGTATGTTTAAAAGGCTTTTTACATATAAAATGTGACATTTAAAATCATGTAATTTATTTTTTCCCTTCTTGTGCATGAGAAAGCCAACCAAGTCAAATTCCCATCATGCAAATTATCCTAAAACATTCTGATAACATTGGACGAGTCAAAAAAGGAAATGAGCACTCATGCAGGCAAAATGAGTAATGAAGCCCAGAGGGGTGATAAGGAATTTTTCTCCTGTGAAATGAAATGCCCTCTTGATTCTGGGCATGAAACAGCGTGCAGAGCTGTTGAAGCTGCCAAAACACTGAGAGGGTTTTGAAAATAAATGTTTCAGAAGAGCTTAAAAGACGAGTTCCAGAGTGAGGCGTCAAAAAATGAAAATGACCTACAATGGTCTCACAGGACCAGAAGGACCAGCTGGGGGCAAAATTATTACTCTTACTCTGGGGTTTTTTTCCACCCACGAGGTCTGACTTATCAGTTTTCATACCATGCTCATTTACATAGCAGGTTGAAATGAAATAAAACTTTGGAGATGAAAACCTGACATTTTTGGGATTTACTTACATAAGGTGAGGGGCGGGTTTCAGCGATTTTAGAGCATTAGTTACAGCCACAGTCACAGCTGCAGCCTGTTCAACAGTCGGCCATCTACCACATACAATATTAATTACAGTTGCATGCAACAGTTTGTGTACCCCAGGGCAAATCGAATATTTAATTAAGCTTTGGTTATAAAAAAAAAAAAAAAGCACATCCCCTGCAGCAACCAGACATTAAAATGAGACTTTTTAAAATGTTAATACTGCACATTTTGTTATATGCACTTAAAAAAGTAGACAGAAATGAATAACTGTGGCATGTGAAAAAGTTTGGACATTCTTCTAGTTGTAAAACACAAGAAATTCATTAAGTTGTTAGGGCCTGAGCCGCTTGTTAGGATCTGTAAGGCACGTCAAGAATTGTCAGGAATTTTTAGCTGATGTTAAATGGACTCTTCACACCTTGTGGGAACTCATAACAACCAAGGGCTCCTTTAAGCAACTGGCTGAGGATCTGAAAATAAAAAAACTTAATTGATGCCTATAAAACTAGGTGAGCTTAAAATGTTTTCATCTTGAAATTTTTACTGTTTGATATGTCAAACAAATGGCAGTTAAAGGGAACGGTGGAAGCCAAGACAAGATCCAGAAGACCAAGGAAGCTTTTAGACAAAACTCCTGGGCAGAAAGACAAAGCATAACCTCCATATAACAGTTAAAGAGCTGCAGGAAGGTGTGCAATGTTGGTGCACAAGTAATCAGATAACACCCATACCTGAGACCTCATCATAGGAGACATTGTCTAAAGCCTGCAAGGCAACATCTAGATAAGCCAGGGTGGTTTTGGAAACAGGTGTTGTGGACAGGTAAAATTAAAATTAAGCTCTATGGACACAATAACCTGAAAGGAGCAGCATTTGACAAACAGAGCACCTTGCTCAGTGTTAAAGCTGCTCCACCTAATTTGTTTTTATGCCTGCAGGGTCTAGTGAAACTCAAGGCTAATTAGACAGTAAATGATAACACAGGGTAGAAAAACTAGAACAACAACAGAAGGGCTGTAGTCAGGGGTGGATCTAGAAAATTTTGGATGGAGTGGCCAGGCTGGAGCACCAACTCAGAGAGGGATGGCACATTTGAAATGCATGTAAAAGGTAAATTAAACCCCTAGAACCCCTAGTTCTACAAAATAATAAACCATACATTATTAAGAATCAAATTGTTTAACTCGGGTAAAAATGAGACACACGCAGTACTTTGTTTAGCTTTGTTTACTGCCTGCTGTGGACAATGCTACTGTACAGACACCCCCCCCCCCCCACCCCCCCACCCAC